TGTGTTCTGATATATAGGAGATATGGGAATAGTATTGGGTCGTATTTGAATAGCTACGTAGCAGCATTACAACAATAACCTGTACTTCATGTCACATTTTTATTAGCTGGATAATAATTCATCTAGTGTTGCAAGGACGATAGGAATAACTGAAATATTTTTCCAAGATAATTCACTGATATTGAAACAGGCTAAACATTAGTCACACAGTCTGATCCTTAGAAATAAATATGTATATTAAATCAGCACCTGCACTCAATAAAAAGGAACAGAAAAGATCGTTACAAAAATTTTATTCAGATTCATCATTTTATCGTGTTCTTTATACAACCATAATTAAGTGATGGTGAGCAAACTTCTGCTATATTGTATTTACGATATTTGAAGAAATTTTCCAACAAGCTAATACAGGTTACCTTACATAGTACAGTTATTGAAATGACGACTGAAGGAGATGAGTTACATATGTTCCAAGATGAATCAACCGATTTAATTGCTCCAATTGTACGGTGTATAGCATCATCACGGGAAATAGCCTTGAAACCACGAGATTTGAACATAATCATAAACGTCTTTGGTCCTTTCAACGTAGATTCACAAGCGGTTTGTGTCGGAACATGTAAAATGGAGGACTCATCATTATTACTTTCATTCTTTTCAGCACTAGGTTGGTCTGGGGGTACTTCAATTTCACAAGATGGTAGTTTCAGGAAGTTAGACCATGCTTGCTGCACACAGTTTTGAAGTGATTGCAAATCTGACCGACATGTCTTTACAACAGGCATCAAACGAAGAACATAACGAGACTCAGCATTAGAATTTGACAATAGTCTTTCGAACACACGATTACAAAGTTCAGCCGCACTAAGTAAATTGGTCTGATGAAGAATAAAAGAACAGTTACTGATATGCGTTTTTAGAGAATAAAAACTGAATTTCCCCTTTGAATTGGAGGGATCATTGGAGCAATTTTCACGAACCAACTGTGAGTATAAGTCATCAGCATCTTCATTCTTTTCATTAGTAACCGTATCGGAAGGTTTAGAACCAAATAAGATATTTGCATTTACATGACTGTCGTTTTTACACGCTTCACTTTCATGCCTTTCAACCAAAACTTCATCCAAAGTATGATTTAACAAACGATAAGTTTCAATGTGTGCCAACCGTTCCTGTTGATTGTAGGTTAATATATACCCAGTCATCCCGGGTTGTAAATTTTTTGGAACGGATGACAAACTATTGTTTGGATCATCTGAACGTGACTTTTTTGAACCATGAGCACATTTTCGGTAGTAGGCTTTGCGTTTTTTCTTGGACTTTTGACTGTCCATAAACTATTAGGCTATTTTGTTCATAAATAAGTAGATAAGAATAAAATATAACCGAAGGCATATTTTAGTGAATATGAAGTATGGAAAAAAACAAAAAGGTTCTAATAAGTATTCAATCGAAAGAATTGAAATTACTTCTAAAAGCAGAAAATATTTGTAAAATATACGACAAATTCAATGGTCGATAGAGAAAGTAGCTAATAATAATGGTCGCAACCAATAGGAATGGAAAGTATGGAACATACTGATCACTAATACGTCTGCTGAAATCTCAAACACGCATACAGAAGGCTCGACTGGCTTCTGCCAGTCTGGATGCGAAGTCTGACCGGTAAGAGTTAGAAATATTCGTAGTTTATTAGTATTCGATTATGTCTTCAAGGCATTGCTCGTGTATCCTGGGATAACCGTATAAGCAATGCTGCCATCAGGAAATGAGTACTAGGTAAAGATGACAGACCAATAGATGAAGTAGTGAAATTTCATCTGTTGAAATGGTTGGGACATGTGTTACGAATACCCAACCACCGACTGCCTCATCGAGCTACGTTTTGTGATGTAGGAGTAGGTTGGAAGAAAGCTAGGGGAGGCCAAAGCAAAATATGGCACAAATCCATGAAGTCACTGTTAAGTGGACTGAGTCATGTTGGTAGATGTAAACTACCTGGTTAGGGTCCGCGAAACGTAAGTCGCCAATGTTTAGAGACCTTGAACGACATAACTCAAAGTCGTTTGCAAAGGCGCAAGTGCATCCACTTGTTGTGTTTTCTCAAACTGTAATCTTCTGAATTACTCGTCACCATTCTTCTATTTATTTCACTGAATTATACTTCGTGAATAATTTCTTCGAACCCTAATCCTCTCCATTACCGCTAATATTTATACTATCTCTACTACTATGGGATTTGAACTGACAGATGCGTCTCTGTGCTTATGTGATATGGCAACCTGAACTTCTGTACATGCATACGAAGTTCTACGGTCTAACTGACTGACTGTATATATAAGTGGTTAAAGACAGTCGAAGAGAAATCGTATATGACCTAAGTTTCGTCTATGTGCCACTTATCAGCATTGCATAACTAGAGAGTTTTGGCGGCTGAAGTACCCTGCAGAACTCCAGCTCACAACCCAGCTCTACAGTCTAAGATGTTATTATTAATATTTATGCAACATATATATGGCTGAATGAGTAATACTCGAATCCGTCACTAGTTATTAGAATATTACCATACTGATTTTCTATGCAACATCTGCACAACTTCATACAGATTGTCTATTAATCTACGTCAGTCAGTCAGTTACAACGTAGAAATTCGTACGCGTGTACATATGTTCAACTTGCCAAAGCACATTAGCACAGAGACGCAATTGTCTATTCAAATCCAATGGTAGTAGTAGTAGTAGTATTAGGGTTCAAAGATATGTACGAACAGTATAATTCAGTGAGGCTTTCGGAAATGATGAGACTCCCGAGATAAGTGAAGCGGTCGACACGTTCAACTGCTTCACTCCGTATCATTAGTTCAGGTACGGAGGCAGGCAAATTAGGAAGCAATATTTAGCATTTCGAGGGGGAAAACCGCATCGCGAACATACCTGCATTTTTTCTTAAGGTAGTCAGAAGACTGCATTCTGTCAGCGTCTTCGCCAAGTATTGTATCGAAATACGCATTATAACTAGGAAGTGTAATTATCACAGCCAAGTGCGAAGTTTACACTTCAGTAATTTGTGGGACTACATAAACCTATAGTGATGACCATAACATTACGAAATTGGAGGTCGACAATATTAGATTACATAATGATTAAGAATCAGATATATGATATTTTACTAAATCATAGATGAACCAAACCAAAATAGTTCATTTGTAAATGTAATAGACCAGAGGTCGTTAAACGTTTTTTGGCTGCTTGTACGAGAATACAGAAGCAACCCGTCACGATTTAGACAGTAATGAGTAAGATAGTTAAAATTTACAGGCTACAATATTCATTTTTTTTACCACGTTTTTGTGGTGTTTTACAGTAGACCTAAATGCTAGTACTAACGATGAGATTGAAAGCCTTTTTATGTTACTATGAATTGAATTAATCCAATCAGTCAATCATAAACAGTATAAAACTTAGCAGAAATATTTGGTGGTCTAAGATGGCATACCATAATAGTGATAGATGAAATTAAAATATTGAATAGTAAGGTGTTCGAAATAGCGTTGCAGTAATAATGATGACGACTAAATATTAGGAATATGATAGAAGAGAAAATGAAAAGGCAGGTTTAAAAGAATGAAACTTGAATGAAAAGACGACCACTGTAATCAATTTTGAGCCATGTCATCCAACATCAGCCACTGACCGTGGTTATCGTGTGGACCACAACCAGGTAGTCTGTATTTGCAAACATGGCCCTAAACAACAATTAGCGGTTATAGGGACTGATGTCACATCTTAATTTGATCACGCACAGCCTGCTCTGGTGAAGAAATTAGTGTTCTTATTCATAGACACTTTCTTATAAATGGACTGGCCGACGTGGTGGTCGAGCTTGACTATCGTGATGACCCAACAGAGCTATACTGGCTGGAACATATGTTCCTGAAGGTTCTACCATGCCAGGCAGGTCGATTGGAGAACAATGAGACTAAAAGCAGCTACCCAAGGTCTGAGGGCGAAGTCGTACTGTGGTACGCGCTACTTATAAGTAGTATATGACGCAAGTAAAAACGTAATGTCTGGCAGCAGAAGATGGGGGAAGATCAAGAAAGGAAGAGCGGGAACACAATGGGATTTGTATGAAACGCATGAACAGTGAAATGTCAGACAATGGATTGATGTTTTGCAACAGGAACTGTCCAGTTCGATATGATGGATTGATATTTTGCAAATTAACGACTTACGATATGGTTTTCCTATTTTACCAATTAACTCTGTAATTTGAGATAAATACAATTTGGTTGCCCTCACCTGTGTTCTCCTTCACTACAGTACTGCTGACTGCAGAGGGGTGTGATAGCAGTAAGGTGTTTCCCTCGGACAACCAGCATCTGCAGCGATGCTGCCTTCTCACAAGGAAGGAAGTGAGAGGTTAGAAAAGTTCGACCCTAAAAATGTCACACCTCACGGATTACCGTCACCGTCGGTAATGGTGCCCACTAAGGGCTTTCAAGAGCGGAGATAATATTCAAAAAAACCCTTCATGAAAAGGCCGTGCGTGACCGGCCTCAAGCAGTTAAACCTTGGGCTCTACGGTAACGCACCCAGGTCTCTAAGACCAACGACAATATACGTTCCTTTTCAGGTTCCTCAAAAAACAAACATCCACGGTGTGAGCAGCAGGGAAGTGACAAACGCCCTCATACCCGTAACAGCACACGAGACCAAATCGGTCAAAATCAAATCCTTCCTACACCCACACATACCTCCCTTATCTCCACGACTAACTCTACCCACATTCCTTCATCACACTGCACAGCTAATGCAAACGATGTGAGTTCACGAAACGTCATTTCTGGTCTCCTGAAACCCCGCTCTAAACTACATGTTGGAGCTTTTAATGTACAGACAATATGCCAAAAAGGGCAACAGGCTTCCTTAGCTAGGACATTAGAATATCGCTCAATCGATGTATGCTGCGTCTCGGAAACGCGCATACAGGATCCTAGTAAAATTATTAATCTGATTTCGCTTTGTCAAAACAAAGAAGCAGCTCAATTTTCACTTTGTGTATCTGGAAGACATGATGCTGCTTCCAGGGGTCTCGCTGATGTAGGCATAGCATTGAGTCGTAGAGCTGAACAATCTCTCCTAGAATGGATCCCAACAGATAGTAAGGTTAACCATAAGGCTAGGATAAAGCCATGGATCTTAGTAGCATCCACCGAACTGATATAGGCTCGAAAACTCATCCCACCTGGCTCTGAACATGATGAAGAACGAAGTCAGCTTGGACACAGGCTGACAAAAAGCCTGATCGTGGCCAGTGGGTAGCGAAAGCAAGGGCGATAGAAAAGGCAGCGGTGATAGGCAACAGCAGACATTTGTCCCGACTTATCAAGGAAATTAGGAATTCAACTGTAAGTGGGACTATCTCAGAAAAGGATGGAACTATTATTTATTCTCAATCCAGGAGACTGGATCGATGGGCAGAACACTTTAGGGATCAGTTCAACTGGCCTCGGGCGTCCTACAGTAGTTGTTTTCCTGGACCAAAGAAGTACATTAACCTTATACAAGCTCTTTACTCGAACACCACTGGTCGAGTGAGGGCTTATGGCGAACTGTCACCGGAATTCTCTACATCAAGTGGTGTCCGTCAGGGCTGTCCACTCTCTCCATTCTTGTTTAATTTTATCATAGACATGCTCCTAGACATAACATTATCCTCGTCTGAATTTTCAGGAGTAGACCTTCTACCAGGTGGCTCGCTTATTGACTTAGAATATGCCGATGACATAGTCCTACTTGGTGAAGACGCTGACAAAATGCAGAGTCTTCTGACTATCCTAAGCAACAATGCGAGCATGTTCGGGATGCGTCTCCCCCTCGAAATGCAAAATGTTGCTTCAAGACTGGGTTTCATCGGTACCTGAACTAGTGATAGGGAGTGAAGTAGTCGAACGTGTAGACCGCTTGACTTATCTGGGGAGTCTCATCAGTGCTGATAGCCTGGTGACTGACGAAATCTCAGCACGGATAGAGAAAGCTCGATTGGCTTTCGCCAACCTGCGTCACCCATGGCGCAGGCGAGATATCCGTTTGCTAACCAAAGGACGAGTGTACTGTGCAGCAGTTCGCTCCATCCTACTGTACGGATGCAAGACTTGGCCGTTAAGAGTAAAGAACTTTCGTAGGTTACTAGTCTTCGATCATCGATGTCTCCGAAGCATTGCTCGTGTATCCTGGGACAACCGTATAAGCAATGCTATCGTTAGGAAACGAGTTCTAGGTAAGGGTGGCAAATCAATAGATGAAGTAGTGGAACTTCATCAGTTGAGGTGGTTGGGACATGTGTTACGTATGGCTAACCACCAACTGCCTCGACGAGCTATGTTTTGTGGTGTAGGAGTAGATTGGAAGGAAGCTAGGTTAGGCCAAACCAAAACATGGCAGAAATGCATGAAGTCACTGACAAGTGGACTGAGTCATGTTGGTAGATGTAGGCTACCTGGTTGGAGTCCGTGAAACGATAGTCACCGATGGTTAGAGACCTTGAATGACATGGCTCAGAATTGTTTGCAATGGCGCAGTTGCATCCACTCTTTGTGTTCTATGAAATTCTAAGCTTCTGCATCCCTCATAATCTCTACCTTTCTCCTTATAAATTTATCTTACTGAATTATACTTCTCGAATCATATCTTCACTCCCTATTCTTTATTACTGCTAATACTTCTATTATTGCTATGACTCTTAGATTTGAACTGACAGTTGCGTCTCTGTGCTGATGGGGCATGGCAACCTGAACTGATGTACTTACGTACGAAGTTCTGCGTTGTATCTGTCTGTCTGTCTGACTGCCCATAACATAATACATTTGTGAATACATACGAGGCATACAGAACTAGTTTTCGCAATTACTACAAACACAATTTATTCTCTAGAATAAGATTGGTGAATGATTAGACTGAAACGCGACATACACGACATGGAATATTGAAAATAAAATAAAACTAATTTGTCTTGATAGCAATTTTTAAAATTTTTTATTCACAGGGAGAAAAATTATCCATGTATAACAAAATGTCCACAGCCAATAACTCACTTTACAGATTGCACCAACGTGTCTAAAAACAGAAATAACCAATCTTTAGTACTAAATACACCTTTAAAAATATTTGTACGATGCTTATAACGAACATGAATTTTAAACAGCACAGTTTGATCATGAATTATATGGAATAAATGAACCAGTACAATTCTAGGCATTTTCTTAAGTTGCCTCATATGGAGGGATAGGAAAATTCAAAAAAAATTCTGAGGTTTAATAATCGTCAAAAATTTCGATTTAGATAAGCGATAAAATAATAGCACAACAAAATCCCTGAAATGCGTAACTTATGTAGGTACAAACATCAAAAAATGATGTTTTTCAGGGTGACTAATCAATAGAATACTAACTTTACGTTAGATAAATAAACTGAAGGTCTAGGAGCATTATCCCATTAGAAGATAGAAGTGAATGAAGACTATTTAAAATGATTAAAACTTATGTTATTTTGGCTTTCGATTACCATGAAACAAATAATGGACAGCCGTTTTGTGCACCATATTTTATGTGCTATAATTAACTCTTACATCCGATTACAAATTTTTAATTTCCATGGCTCATTTAGAAAACTGAATAACCCCTTAATCGAACAACGGAATAAAACTAAAAGTTTTGCCCAACAGGTATACATCGATGTAGTGAGAGACACCTGACAAACACACATGTCTATTTCGCTTTGTTGACTCTAATAAAAAGCAGATTTAGTTTTGTAGATAGATTTCATAATCAACTGCTATTCATCAGAAAATGGAATATGTTAAGAAGCCTTAAGTGATATAAAACAATGGGAGATCAGTTAAAGTCGTCAATAATGGTTTGATTAGGTCAGATATATCATTACAGGAAATAATGAGCAGAAACTTGAGAAAAAGTGGAGCCTATATTCAACAAATTATATTAAGCTATTGAGAACTAAGCATTTGGAAGCGCAAAACATTCTATGTAGATTTATATCGGAACTTCCCAAATACATAACAATAATTTGAACATCAAAATGAGAAATGAACGTTTTCAACAATTAAAAAATTATCTTAATGTTTTAATTGTTGAAAACGTACATTTCTCATTTTGATGTTCAAATTATTGTTATGTATTTGGGAAGTTCCGATATAAATCTACATAGAATGTTTTGCGCTTCCAAATGCTTAGTTCTCAATAGCTTAATATAATTTGTTGAATATAGGCTCCACTTTTTCTCAAGTTTCTGCTCATTATTTCCTGTAATGATATATCTGACCTTATCAAACCATTATTCACGACTTTAACTGATCTCCCATTGTTTTATATCACTTAAGGCTTCTTAACATATTCCATTTTCTGATGAATAGCAGTTGATTATGAAATCTATTGTTGTTGAGCACCTATATACAAAACTAAATCTGCTTTTTATTAGAGTCAACAAAGCGAAATAGACATGTGTGTTTGTCAGGTGTCTCTCACTACATCGATGTATACCTGTTGGGCAAAACTTTTAGTTTTATTCCGTTGTTCGATTAAGGGGTTATTCAGTTTTCTAAATGAGCCATGGAAATTAAAAATTTGTAATCGGATGTAAGAGTTAATTATAGCACATAAAATATGGTGCACAAAACGGCTGTCCATTATTTGTTTCATGGTAATCGAAAGCTAAAATAAAATAAGTTTTAATCATTTTAAATAGTCTTCATTCACTTCTATCTTCTAATGGGATAATGCTCCTAGACCTTCAGTTTATTTATCTAACGTAAAGTTAGTATTCTATTGATTAGTCACCCTGAAAAACATCATTTTTTGATGTTTGTACCTACATAAGTTACGCATTTCAGGGATTTTGTTGTGCTATTATTTTATCGCTTATCTAAATCGAAATTTTTGACGATTATTAAGCCTCAGAATTTTTTTTGAATTTTCCTATCCCTCCGTATGAGGCAACTTAAGAAAATGCCTAGAATTGTACTGGTTCATTTATTCCATATAATTCATGATCAAACTGTGCTGTTTAAAATTCATGTTCGTTATAAGCATCGTACAAATATTTTTAAAGGTGTATTTAGTACTAAAGATTGGTTATTTCTGTTTTTAGACACGTTGGTGCAATCTGTAAAGTGAGTTATTGGCTGTGGACATTTTGTTATACATGGATAATTTTTCTCCCTGTGAATAAAAAATTTTTAAAATTGCTATCAAGACAAATTAGTTTTATTTTATTTTCAATATTCCATGTCGTGTATGTCGCGTTTCAGTCTAATCATTCACCAATCTTATTCTAGAGAATAAATTGTGTTTGTAGTAATTGCGAAAACTAGTTCTGTAACTGCCTCGTATGTATTCACAAATGTATTATGTTATGGGCAGTCAGACAGACAGACAGATACAACGCAGAACTTCGTACGTAAGTACATCAGTTCAGGTTGCCATGCCCCATCAGCACAGAGACGCAACTGTCAGTTCAAATCTAAGAGTCATAGCAATAATAGAAGTATTAGCAGTAATAAAGAATAGGGAGTGAAGATATGATTCGAGAAGTATAATTCAGTAAGATAAATTTATAAGGAGAAAGGTAGAGATTATGAGGGATGCAGAAGCTTACAATTTCATAGAACACAAAGAGTGGATGCAACTGCGCCATTGCAAACAATTCTGAGCCATGTCATTCAAGGTCTCTAACCATCGGTGACTATCGTTTCACGGACTCCAACCAGGTAGCCTACATCTACCAACATGACTCAGTCCACTTGTCAGTGACTTCATGCATTTCTGCCATGTTTTGGTTTGGCCTAACCTAGCTTCCTTCCAATCTACTCCTACACCACAAAACATAGCTCGTCGAGGCAGTTGGTGGTTAGCCATACGTAACACATGTCCCAACCACCTCAACTGATGAAGTTCCACTACTTCATCTATTGATTTGCCACCCTTACCTAGAACTCGTTTCCTAACGATAGCATTGCTTATACGGTTGTCCCAGGATACACGAGCAATGCTTCGGAGACATCGATGATCGAAGACTAGTAACCTACGAAAGTCCTCTACTCTTAACGGCCAAGTCTTGCATCCGTACAGTAGGATGGAGCGAACTGCTGCACAGTACACTCGTCCTTTGGTTAGCAAACGGATATCTCGCCTGCGCCATGGGTGACGCAGGTTGGCGAAAGCCAATCGAGCTTTCTGTATCCGTGCTGAGATTTCGTCAGTCACCAGGCTATCAGCACTGATGAGACTCCCCAGATAAGTGAAGCGGTCTACACGTTCGACTACTTCACTCCGTATCACTAGTTCAGGTACCGATGAAACCCAGTCTCGAAGCAACATTTTGCATTTCGAGGGGGAGACGCATCCCGAACATGCTCGCATTGTTGCTTAGGATAGTCAGGAGACTCTGCATTTTGTCAGCGTCTTCACCAAGTAGGACTATGTCATCGGCATATTCTAAGTCAATAAGCGAGCCACCTGGTAAAAGGTCTACTCCTGAAAATTCAGACGAGGATAATGTTATTTCTAGGAGCATGTCTATGATAAAATTAAACAAGAATGCAGAGACTGAACAGCCCTGACGGACACCACTTGATGTAGAGAATTCAGATGACAGTTCGCCATAAGCTCTCACTCGACCAGTGGTGTTCGAGTAGAGAGCTTGTTAAGGTTAATGTACTTCTTTGGTCCAGGAAAACAACTACTGTAGGACGCCCGAGGCCAGTTGAACTGATCCCTAAAGTGTTCTGCCCATCGATCCAGTCTCCTGGATTGAGAATAAATAATAGTTCCATCCTTTTCTGAGATAGTCCCACTTACAGTTGAATTCCTAATTTCCTTGATAAGTCGGAACAACTATCTGCTGTTGCCTATCACCGCTGCCTTTTCTATCGCTCTTACTTTCGATACCCACTGGCCACGATCAGGCTTTTTGTCAGCCTGTGTCCAAGCTGACTTCGTTCTTCATCATGTTCAGAGCCAGGTGGGATGAGTTTTCGAGCCTATATCAGTTCGGTGGATGCTACTAAGATCCATGGCTTTATCCTAGCCTTATGGTTAACCTTACTATCTGTTGGGATCCATTCTAGGAGAGATTGTTCAGCTCTACGACTCAATGCTATGCCTACATCAGCGAGACCCCTGGAAGCAGCATCATGTCTTCCAGATACACAAAGAGAAAATTGAGCTGCTTCTTTGTTTTGACAAAGCGAAATCAGATTAATAATTTTACTAGGATCCTGTATGCGCGTTTCCGAGACGCAGCATACATCGATTGAGCGATATTCTAATGTCCTAGCTAAGGAAGCCTGTTGCCCTTTTTGGCATATTGTCCGTACATTAAAAGCTCCAACATGTAGTTTAGAGCGGGGTTTCAGGAGACCAGAAATGACGTTTCGTGAACTCACATTGTTTGCATTAGCTGTGCAGTGTGATGAAGGAATGTGGGTAGAGTTAGTCGTGGAGATAAGGGAGGTATGTGTGGGTGTAGGAAGGATTTGATTTTGGACCGATTTGGTCTCGTGTGCTTGTACGGGTAGGAGGGCGTTTGTCACTTCCCTGCTGCTCACACCGTGGATGTTTTGTTTTTGAGGAACCTGAAAAGGAACGTATATTGTCGTTGGTCTTAGAGACCTGGGTGCGGTTAGCGTAGGGCCCGAGGTTTAACTGCTTGAGGCCGGTGACGCACGGGCTTTTCATGAAGGGTTTTTTTGAATATTATCTCCGCTCTTGAAAGCCCTTAGTGGGCACCATTACCGACGGTGACGGTAATCCGTGAGGTGTGACATTTTTAGGGTCGAACTTTTCTAACCTCTCACTTCCTTCCTTGTGAGAAGGCAGCATCGCTGCAGATGCTGGTTGTCCGAGGGAAACACCTTACCTGCTATCACACCCCTCTGCAGTCAGCAGTACTGTAGTGAATGAGAACACAAGTGATGTCAACCGAATTGTATTTAACGAGAATAACAGAGTTAATTGGTAAAAGAGGAAAGCCATATCGTAAGTCGTTAATTTGCAAATACAATCCATCATATCGACACTGGACAGTTCCTGTTGCAAAACATCAATCCATTGTCTGACATTTCACTGTTCATAGCGTTTCATACAAATCCCATTGTGTTCACCGCTCTTCCTTTCTTGATCTTCCCCCATCTTCTGCTGCCAGACATTACGTTTTACTTGCGTCATATACTACTTATAATAGTAGCGCGTACCACAGTACGACTTCGCCCTCAGACCTTGGGTAGCTGCTTTTAGTCTCATTGTTCTCCAATCGACCTGCCTGGCATGGTAGAACCTTCAGGAATATATGTTCCAGCCAGTATAGCTCTGTTGGGTCATCACGATAGTCAAGCTCGACCACCACGTCGGCCAGTCCATTTATAAGAAAGTGTCTATGAATAAGAACACTAATTTCTTCACCAGAGCAGGCTGTGCGTGATCAAATTAAGATGTGACATCAGTCCCTATAACCGCTAACTGTTGTTTAGGGGCCATGTTTTGCAAATACAGACCTACCTGGTTGTGGTCCACACGATAACCACGGTCAGTGGCTGATGTTGGATGACATGGCTCAAAATTGATTACAGTGGTCGTCTTTTCATTCAAGTTTCATTCTTTTAAACCTGCCTTTTCATTTTCTCTTCTATCATATTCCTAATATTTAGTCGTCATCATTATTACTGCAACGCTATTTCGAACACCTTACTATTCAATATTTTAGTTTCATCTATCACTATTATGGTATGCCATCTTAGACCACCAAATATTTCTGCTAAGTTTTATACTGTTTATGATTGACTGATTGGATTAATTCAATTCATAGTAACATAAAAAAGGCTTTCAATCTCATCGTTAGTACTAGCATTTAGGTCTACTGTAAAACACCACAAAAACGTGGTAAAAAAATGAATATTGTAGCCTGTAAATTTTAACTATCTTACTCATTACTGTCTAAATCGTGACGGGTTGCTTCTGTATTCTCGTACAAGCAGCCAAAAAACGTTTAACGACCTCTGGTCTATTACATTTACAAATGAACTATTTTGGTTTGGTTCATCTATGATTTAGTAAAATATCATATATCTGGTTCTTAATCATTATGTAATCTAATGTTGTCGACCTCCAATTTCGTAATGTTATGGTCATCACTATAGGTTTATGTAGTCCCACAGATTACTGAAGTGTAAACTTCGCACTTGGCTGTGATAATTACACTTCCTAGTTATAATGCGTGTTTCGATACAATACTTGGCGAAGACGCTGACAGAATGCAGTCTTCTGACTACCTTAAAAAAAAATGCAGGTATGTTCGCGATGCGGTTTTCCCCCTCGAAATGCTAAATATTGCTTCCTAATTTGCCTGCCTCCGTACCTGAACTAATGATACGGAGTGAAGCAGTTGAACGTGTCGACCGCTTCACTTATCTCGGGAGTCTCATCATTTCCGAAAGCCTCACTGAATTATTCTGTTCGTACATATCTTTGAACCCTAATACTTCTACTATCTCTACTACCATTGGATTTGAATAGACAATTGCGTCTCTGTGCTAATGTGCTTTGGCAAGTTGAACATATGTACACGCGTACGAATTTCTACGTTGTAACTGACTGACTGACGTAGATTAATAGACAATCTGTATGAAGTTGTGCAGATGTTGCATAGAAAATCAGTATGGTAATATTCTAATAACTAGTGACGGATTCGAGTATTACTCATTCAGCCATATATATGTTGCATAAATATTAATAATAACATCTTAGACTGTAGAGCTGGGTTGTGAGCTGGAGTTCTGCAGGGTACTTCAGCCGCCAAAACTCTCTAGTTATGCAATGCTGATAAGTGGCACATAGACGAATCTTAGGTCATATAAGATTTCTCTTCGACTGTCTTTAACCACTTATATATACAGTCAGTCAGTTAGACCGTAGAACTTCGTATGCATGTACAGAAGTTCAGGTTGCCATATCACATAAGCACAGAGACGCATCTGTCAGTTCAAATCCCATAGTAGTAGAGATAGTATAAATATTAGCGGTAATGGAGAGGATTAGGGTTCGAAGAAATTATTCACGAAGTATAATTCAGTGAAATAAATAGAAGAATGGTGACGAGTAATTCAGAAGATTACAGTTTGAGAAAACACAACAAGTGGATGCACTTGCGCCTTTGCAAACGACTTTGAGTTATGTCGTTCAAGGTCTCTAAACATTGGCGACTTACGTTTCGCGGACCCTAACCAGGTAGTTTACATCTACCAACATGACTCAGTCCACTTAACAGTGACTTCATGGATTTGTGCCATATTTTGCTTTGGCCTCCCCTAGCTTTCTTCCAACCTACTCCTACATCACAAAACGTAGCTCGATGAGGCAGTCGGTGGTTGGGTATTCGTAACACATGTCCCAACCATTTCAACAGATGAAATTTCACTACTTCATCTATTGGTCTGTCATCTTTACCTAGTACTCATTTCCTGATGGCAGCATTGCTTATACGGTTATCCCAGGATACACGAGCAATGCCTTGAAGACATAATCGAATACTAATAAACTACGAATATTTCTAACTCTTACCGGTCAGACTTCGCATCCAGACTGGCAGAAGCCAGTCGAGCCTTCTGTATGCGTGTTTGAGATTTCAGCAGACGTATTAGTGATCAGTATGTTCCATACTTTCCATTCCTATTGGTTGCGACCATTATTATTAGCTACTTTCTCTATCGACCATTGAATTTGTCGTATATTTTACAAATATTTTCTGCTTTTAGAAGTAATTTCAATTCTTTCGATTGAATACTTATTAGAACCTTTTTGTTTTTTTCCATACTTCATATTCACTAAAATATGCCTTCGGTTATATTTTATTCTTATCTACTTATTTATGAACAAAATAGCCTAATAGTTTATGGACAGTCAAAAGTCCAAGAAAAAACGCAAAGCCTACTACCGAAAATGTGCTCATGGTTCAAAAAAGTCACGTTCAGATGATCCAAACAATAGTTTGTCATCCGTTCCAAAAAATTTACAACCCGGGATGACTGGGTATATATTAACCTACAATCAACAGGAACGGTTGGCACACATTGAAACTTATCGTTTGTTAAATCATACTTTGGATGAAGTTTTGGTTGAAAGGCATGAAAGTGAAGCGTGTAAAAACGACAGTCATGTAAATGCAAATATCTTATTTGGTTCTAAACCTTCCGATACGGTTACTAATGAAAAGAATGAAGATGCTGATGACTTATACTCACAGTTGGTTCGTGAAAATTGCTCCAATGATCCCTCCAATTCAAAGGGGAAATTCAGTTTTTATTCTCTAAAAACGCATATCAGTAACTGTTCTTTTATTCTTCATCAGACCAATTTACTTAGTGCGGCTGAACTTTGTAATCGTGTGTTCGAAAGACTATTGTCAAATTCTAATGCTGAGTCTCGTTATGTTCTTCGTTTGATGCCTGTTGTAAAGACATGTCGGTCAGATTTGCAATCACTTCAAAACTGTGTGCAGCAAGCATGGTCTAACTTCCTGAAACTACCATCTTGTGAAATTGAAGTACCCCCAGACCAACCTAGTGCTGAAAAGAATGAAAGTAATAATGATGAGTCCTCCATTTTACATGTTCCGACACAAACCGCTTGTGAATCTACGTTGAAAGGACCAAAGACGTTTATGATTATGTTCAAATCTCGTGGTTTCAAGGCTATTTCCCGTGATGATGCTATACACCGTACAATTGGAGCAATTAAATCGGTTGATTCATCTTGGAACATATGTAACTCATCTCCTTCAGTCGTCATTTCAATAACTGTACTATGTAAGGTAACCTGTATTAGCTTGTTGGAAAATTTCTTCAAATATCGTAAATACAATATAGCAGAAGTTTGCTCACCATCACTTAATTATGGTTGTATAAAGAACACGAAAAATGATGAATCTGAATAAAATTTTTGTAACGATCTTTTCTGTTCCTTTTTATTGAGTGCAGGTGCTGATTTAATATACATATTTATTTCTAAGGATCAGACTGTGTGACTAATGTTTAGCCTGTTTCAATATCAGTGAATTATCTTGGAAAAATATTTCAGTTATTCCTATCGTCCTTGCAACACTAGATGAATTATTATCCAGCTAATAAAAATGTGACATGAAGTACAGGTTATTGTTGTAATGCTGCTACGTAGCTATTCAAATACGACCCAATACTATTCCCATATCTCCTATATATCAGAACACAACGCCGTTAGACGAAGTTGTTTAATGGGTCGAGTACAGTATAGAGGAAGGTAGGAAGGAACGGAATACAAAGCTTTACAGATACTGTGTAGTGATACATTTAGGTTGAATAGGAAAGAGTATCGAACTCTGTGACATTGACAGTCCGGACGACCAATAAGAAATAACATCGGAGTACGCGACATTGATATCTAGGACGGCAATAAAATTAACCAGTAGGAATCAACCAATAGGAAGTGACCAATAATTCTCTTAGGATATTGGATGAATATCCTATAAGTTATTTAGAACAAAAATCAGGAATTATTCCCACTGTTAATACTTTAATTTGGATGACTGGTGGTCCCACTAAATATTGGGTGTGTTACTGAAACTAGTTTAAGCACAGTACATTAAATTGGTCTTCAAATTATTTTTGAGGTATTGAGTATTCTTCTGAAAAGTATTCTGGAGCTGAAGAGTCTATAATAAATAATCACCTGGCTGATAATATTTTCATATTTCTTCTGTTTTTGAAAATCCTACTCGTTGGAGGTAAGCAGATGTGTATGACGGTATAGGTGTTGACTAAAAATTCCTTTGCAGGAAATTATTTCTAGTAGGTAGTCTTCATATATTGTTAAGTTTTGAAAACAATGAACGCTATATACCTTTAGCGATTTTGTCTGATTCTATCTTAATTACCTAAATTTGGTATGTGTTAGAAAGATAAAGAAGCTCTAAATAGATGTTTCTAGTCAATCTGTATCTATAATATTTTCGGTGCAAATGAACTCACACATTAAAAGTTACCTTCGCTATAAACCGTTATATTAATCAAACTTAGGCATATAGTATATACCAGTTGCTTCATGTTGTTGTAGATTTATCCATATTTGATTGAAGTCTCAGTACCATTTTACTGGCGAATAACGTGGTCTGCTGGATCGTCTTTAAACATTCCGTCGGGACAGGATTCGGTATTATGACAATGAATAAGGTTTCTGAAGTTCATAGTGCAGTTGACTAGATGCAAGCATCATTTGATGATGTGGCGATGAAACTGGTTTTGTTCTTACGTGTAAGTACGCTATAGGTCTAAAAATGTAGCATTCAGACTGTTTGCATTTAAATTAACCACTTTCCTAGTACTTTGTTCGTGAAACATTCGGATATTTATGTCAATAACGTATGCTTCAGAAATGAACTACCATTTGGACAGGTGAAGCTCACTTTTAGTAGGCTTGCGAATGTCATGAAAGTAATGTATGCCTTATACGACGAATAACAGCGCGCTTCAGTTTATCTGAATTAAAAATGATGTTTGGCTGTTTCCATGAATGATTATTTGGAATATGTAATGATGAGGACCGGCAGGAATACCTATAATCCCCACGGAATGTAGTCACATGCTTGAAAAAGAAAGTTATACTTCTGGAAGTGGGGGTTAGTTTGAAATGCGACCCAGTTATTGTGCTTCGATTAGGTGCTCCGGTGAAACAGTAGATATTTTCTGGCATATATTCGTGAAATAAATTACCTAAACTTAAAGAGATATTCCTGAGAAACTATGAATCTGTACGTCTGTGAATAATTAAAATGCTCATGAATATAAGCGTTTGATCAGATCAACTCTCATAACATATTCATTGCATGTTAAATGTGCTAGATATGGTATTGTAAAACTTGGTTACTTTAGCCTGCACGCATGAACTCTAATGTATCTGCTACTCGTTCTACTAGAAGAGGTACCAGGATAAAAATAGAACTGGTCGGCGAGTATCTGATAGAATAACACTCGCTAGTAATTTTCAAAATCTAGATGTCTTCGTAACTGTATTCATATTAGTACTGAGGATTCCACCGATATTCAGAGTTGGACAATGTTTCTGTGTTTAACGCCTTTCAGATTGAGGACACCCAAAGCGAAGTCAAACCAGAAGTCGAGAATGAGGAGAGTCGAAGGTATATTTGAATGGTAGCTGTTATATCGAGGATTGAGTGGAGTAGGATTACTAGTTGATGCGTGGCACGGCATAGGTTACAGTGATCCGGTGTAGATGAGTTGCCGAACACACCCAGCTGAATACGTCTACCAAAACTAGTGAGATCAGCGTCGATTTCGAAAACCGATTGGACTATTTATTTTAGGGACTTATTGACCGCCTATGTCTCAAAATGTTCAATACGTAACAAATTGATTCTCCTCAGTTTTCGCCACAATATGTATCCCACTAAAGAATGAGGGGTATTGTGCGGGAATTTACAAAGCGTAATAGTACATATTGAGTAATGCCGTAGCATGTTCTTTATTTTTGTAGCATAAGTCAGATGAAAATTTCATCTGATACTAGTTAAATATGAGATCACGACAAGCCGATGATTTAATAATGATAATAATAATAATAATAATAATAATAATAACGTCTATTCTCAAATAACAGTTAGTTACATGAGGTCTGTCAGTTTACAGGTAAGATCGAGTTGTTGCAAATGCTGCGGCATTCAATGTAATCTGTTTCCCAGGTAGGCCAGTAATGATATTATTTTCCTGATGTAGCACGTTTATACCATTCCAACATCATCAATAGTTTGATACAGCCATATTTTAGACAAGTGATTGAAAATAGTGTAGACACACAACAGAGTTCCTAGGATGTATACATGATTCAGAAGTTATTGACAAGACGTTGTTGGGGGAGATTTACCTGCAGAGTATTTGTGTAGTGTAACAGGCTGGTAACTCCGCCATTAGAACCTTCGGGGCTACTGCTGGTCCCAAGCCCGGGTAAAGGAGGAGGGTTGGACATGGTGTTGGCGACCCCATTCCGTCGAAAACTAACTTGCCAAAAAAACGCTAACCAGAAAAAATAATTCAAACCATTTTAACTCTGCCCTGGGATTTGGAAGAAGAATTATGACGTCGCGTGATGAAAGCCGAGTTCCTTCGGAAGTCACGGGGCTGATGCCGCTTCTGACAACCAGAGCAACCATTCTTTTAGGTACATGGAACGTTCGTACATTGTGGGAGACTGCAAGACTATTTCAAGTTGCGGCAGAAATGAAAAGATACAACCTCGAGGTGCTCGGCATCAGTGAAACGCATTGGACACAGGTAGGACAACTGAGACTAGCTTCAGGGGAACTGCTGTTATACTCTGGTCATGAAGAGGAAAATGCTTCACATACACAAGGAGTTTTACTGATGCTGTCCAAACATGCACAAAAGGCACTGATAGGATGGGAATCTCATGGACCCAGGATCATTAAAGCATCCCTCAAAACAAAGAAAGAGGACATTACAATGAACGTCATCCAATGTTATGCACCTACCAATGACTACAATGACGACGATAAAGATCAATTCTACGAAAGGCTGCAGTCAATCGTCGAGAAATGTTCACCAAAGCATTTGACGATTCTTATGGGAGACCTGAATGCTAAGGTTGGAATGGACAATACTGGATATGAAGACATCATGGGACGACATGGACTGGGAGAAAGAAACGAAAATGGTGAGAGATTTGCAAACCTATGTGCCTTCAACAAACTGGTCATCGGTGGCACAATATTCCCGCACAAACGCATTCACAAAGCCACATGGATTTCACCGGATCACACTACTCAAAACCAGATTGATCATATCTGTATCAACAAAAAGTTCAGAAGGACCATGGAAGATGTGAGAACCAAGAGAGGAGCTGATATAGCATCAGATCACCACTTGCTGGTCGCCAAAATGAAACTGAAACTAAAGAAGCACTGGACAACTGGGCAGACAACATCACACAAGTTTAATACAGCATTTCTTCGGGATACTGTAAAGCTCAACGAATTCAGGATAGCCCTCACAAATAAGTTCCAGGCCTTTCAGGATCTACTCAATGGAGAGGAAGCAACATTGGAGAACAATTGGAAAGGGATTAAGGAGGCAATCACTTCAACATGTCACGAGGTTCTGGGTCACAAGAAGTGACGTCACAAGGAATGGATCTCTGTTGATACTCTTGCAAAAATTGAAGAAAGGAGGAACAAGAAGGCAGCAATCTATGTCAGCCGAACAAGAGCGGAGAAAGATACCGCACAAACTGCATACACAGAAGCAAACAGGGAAGTGAAGAAGAGCATCAGAGCCGACATACGAAAATATGTGGAGGATCTAGCAATGACGGCAGAAAAGGCTGCAAGAGATGGAAACTTGAGACAGTTGTACGAAACAACAAAGAAGCTCGCCGGGAACTATCGTAAACCAGAACGACCAATGAAAAGCAAGGAAGGGAAAGTAATCAGCAACACTGAAGAACAGCGAAATAGGTTGGTAGAGCACTTTAAGGAACTATTGAATCGACCAGCTCCACTGAACACACCCAACATCGAAGCAGCATCCAAGGACCTCCCAATTAATATTGGCGCACCTACAATAGAAGAGATCAGTATGGCCATCAGACAAATCAAGAGTGGCAAAGCAGCAGGACCAGACAACATTCCAGCAGAGGCAATGAAAGCAGATGTAGAAGCAACTGCGAAAATATTTCACATCCTCTTCAATAAGATTTGGGATGAGGAACAAGTACCATCAGATTGGGAAGAAGGATACCTGATCAAAATACCAAAGAAAGGCTATCTCAGCAAGTGTGAGAACTACAGAGGCATCACTCTTCTTTCAATACCGGGCAAAGTTTTCAACAGGGTATTGTTAAACAGAATGAAGGACTTCGTAGACGCCCAACTTCGAGATCAACAGGCTGGATTTCGTAAGGATCGATCATGTACTGACCAAATTGCTACACTACGGATCATTGTGGAACAATCAATTGAATTGAACTCACCACTCTACATCAACTTCATCGACTACGAGAAAGCATTCGATAGCGTGGATAGGAAAACACTGTGGAGTCTTCTTCGACACTATGGTTCTACTATATGGAGCGGAAACTTGGAGAACTACCAAAGCCATCATCCAGAAGATGCAAGTGTTTATTAACAGCTGTCTACGCAAAATACTTCGTATCCGTTGGCCAGACACCATCAGCAACAACGAACTGTGGGAGAAAACAAACCAGATTCCATTGGGGGAGGAAATCAGGAAGAAGCGGTGGAAGTGGATAGGACACACATTGCGGAAAGCACCTAACTGCGTCACTAGACAAGCCCTTACATGGAACCCTCAAGGCAAAAGGAAAAGAGGAAGGCCAAGGAATACATTACGCCGAGAAATAGAGAAAGATATGAGAGGAATGAACAAACATTGGACAGAACTGGAAAGGGAAGCCCAGGACAGAGTTGGTTGGAGAAATCTGGTGGGCGGCCTATGCTCCATTGGGAGAAACAGGCACTAGACTAGACTAGAACAGGCTGGTAATTTCATATATGTTAGAAATTGTCGACTGGCCGATGATTGATATAAGCTGTAACCCTGATGATCGCGTACGTAATGTGCATTTCGTGTGGAAGAAGTACCATGGTTATTCACTGTTGACGACGAATTATAGGTGTTTTTGATAGCGTTAGGTATCCAGATGTGTTAAATTTTCTGCATTGTTAATGGTGAAAATTCTAACGAGTTTCTAAGGAACAAATATTACAAACTGTAAACACGGGTGATCACTCAACGAATATATTCTGATCGAAAGAATACATACTTTTGTTATGATAACTCAAAATAAACAGATAGAAAGGGGATAACTTGTCTCTGATAGGTTTCGATCTTCTAGAGAGAATGAAATTGCATCCTGCGCTGAGCGTTGTACTTTTATCCATGCTGAATATACCTGGTAAAGAACATAAAATGGGTTCTGTCGATTTTCATCAACAAAATGGATACCAAAGTGAACTTTGTGAGTGACTTTAAAGGCGTGAACTAATAAAACCAAGTCTCGCTTTTGTTTTATCAACTATCGTTAGTATAGAAACTTTGCAAAATAGGCTAATCAAGTGGTCAAATGACAAGGACATTTGATTACTGTTAGAAAATGTCTTAGAGTATGGGTTTTATTCATTGTTATGACAAAAATTCATTGTCTAAGGGGACAAAAGATTAATTTGCAGACCAGTATTTATGCATTTATTCGATAACCAAGAAGTCATTTACTTTTACCTCGTCGCTGAAGTACAAATTTCAGGGTGTTTGTGCGTATGACGATCATGAGTATGTCTACACACATGAATATTCATATCTAGTGAAGATTATTGTGGTGTTCAGGCAGTTTCAGATGGGTCTGTAGTGGAACTATTTCGTCGAAATAATACGATTACTGACGTACAAATACTTATTATTGAACATATGTAACATTAACTGTTTTATTGTATATCATTTGTTTATTTGTACTAAAAGTCACTTTTCGAGCGCCACCCACGCCATCCCTGCGGATCTAACGATCGTCTCGTGTAATCATCGATTGTACAAGCTGAACACGTGATATTATTCTAATATCACTCGATTTTCTATCAATAAACGTTGATATCCTATATACAATCTTCTGTTCTGGAGTTGGTTTGGACGTGTAACCTTCACGCTTCAACATTGGTGAGCCATTGGTCTGGAACGCGCTGTCATTCGGATATCTTCGCCACAAAACGATAAAACTTGGTGAGTCTGTCAGTTTTCTATCCATTTATCATATTATTTATTCTGTTGCTTAATACTTATATATAATAAACTAGCAACAGCGATTTAATCTTAATTAACAATGGATAGCGCTAAATGTACTGATATGACAGACTCCCAGATCCAGGTCCTTAATTTTCGACCTGTCTCCTTTATTCCCCACGATCCAGAGGTCTGGTTCGCGACACTGGAGACTCAGTTCGAGATCCGTCGCATAACGAACCAGCGGCTTATGTTTGCCTATGCCCTGGAATCCTTACCTGGGGACCATATAGCGGCTGTTCGTGAGGTCGTCCTCAACCCCAACGCCCCAGATGCCTACAATCGTCTCAAGGAGGCGATTCTGCAGCATTTCCTCCCATCGAAGGAGGAACGCTTGAGGACTCTTTTAGCACGTCACCCTATGGGTGATGCTAAACCGAGCCACCACCTCACGCGCCTGCAATCACTAGCAGGACCGACAGCGGCTAACTCAGATATAGTCAAGGAGCTGTGGCTCGACTCACTACCAGCCCATGTTCAGCCTACGATCGCCGCCCTGCCAGAAGATATGCCGCTAAGCCAAGTTGCACTAGTGGCAGACAGAGTGATTACACGAACCGGCCATCGAGACAACTATACTGTTGCGTCCACGTCACATACCGGCGTGGGCCTCGAGGCCAAACAGGGTAAAGCTCATAAGGATCAGGGTTGCTGTATACACAGCCGTCTGAGTTTTTCAGACCGTTCCAAAGTACCTGAACCCTACGTCCTGCGAGCACGATCGCGATCACGTAAGGCGGTAAGTACTCGCCCCCAGCGGGCATCTTCCAAGCCACGCCAACGAGCGGCTTCGGAAGCGAGTACCGGTTGGTGCTGGTTCCATCGGACTTTTAGGTCCGCCGCCCGCCATTGTCGACCTCCATGCTCATACAAGGCGGGAAACTCCCAAGCCGGCGAGTAAAAGCGGCCCTACTCGCCGGCCACTCACCTCAGGTTGGCCGTTTATTTTACGTGCACGATATCCGCACGAACGCTAGGTACCTAGTTGACACCGGTGCCCAAGTTTCTGTCGTACCATTAGGTAGCAGCAAGTTACAACCTACAATAATTCGATTACGCGCTGCGAATGGCACTGTCATTCCTACCTATGGTACACGACAGCTATCGGTCAACCTGAGCAACCGACGACAGTATCTGTGGACGTTCATCATTGCCGATGTTCCCACAGCTATACTCGGTATCGATTTCCTACAGCACTATGAATTGCTAGTCGATTCACGTAGGCTGCAGCTAATCGATACTTCGTCGAACAGCAAATTTATGGGCTTTCGAGCTCATACAAATGCGTACCGAATAACAGGTTTATTTCATTCGCGTGATGACATTTTCCACGCTTTATTCGAAAAATTCCCCCAATTAACTAAACCACTCGAGGAGACTCCGTCGGTGACCCGACATGTGGAACACCACATCGTCACCCGCGGACCACCAGTCACGGCAAAGCCTCGCCGACTGGCACCGGACAAATTAGCTTTCGCTAAACGTGAGTTCGACAATTTACTAGCTACTGGTATTATTCGTCCTTCTCACAGTCCATGGGCCTCACCACTCCACATGGTTCGAAAAAAGGATGGGATAAGTTGGCGACCATGTGGCGACTACCGAGCACTAAATGTAGTCACGCGTTTCGATAGTTACCCCATCCCCCACATACACGACATCACGGCATCACTCAAGGGCACGACTATCTATTCTAAGATCGATCTGGTACGGGCATACCATCAGATCCCAGTCGCTCCTGAGGATATTGAGAAAACTGCTGTCACGACTCCTTTCGGTCTGTTTGAGTTCCTACGAATGCCATTTGGATTACGGAATGCTGCTCAAACTTTCCAGAGGTTTATCGATAGCATAGTACGAGACTTTGATTTTGTTCACGTCTATATTGATGACTTGTTAATCGCATCATCAAACGTAGATGAACATTATCAACATCTTAAACTCCTATTCCAACGTCTTTCGGATAATGGAATACTAATCAACCCAGATAAGTGCGAACTTGGAAAAGCAGAAATAAAATTTCTGGGTCACGTTATAAAGCATGAGGGTATTTTGCCATGTGAAGATAAAGTACGTACAATCATGGAGTACACTGTACCGTCTTCACTCAAAGAACTGAAGGCATTTCTCGGTTTGGTCAACTTCTATCGACGTTTCATTCCTCACGCCGCGGAACAGTTACGACCACTAACCGATCTACTTCGCGGGAATCCACGTAAGCTAGAATTGAACGAGGACGCACGTACTGCATTTTCCGAAATTAAAAAAGCTTTAGCTCAAGCTACGCTCCTCGCCCATCCCGACCCATCAGCCACGCTCAGTATAGCGGTTGATGCATCCGATTTCGCTATAGGAGCCGTCATGCAACAAAACATCTCTGGCAGTTGGCAACCTCTCGAATTTTTCTCACGACGCCTTACTACCACGGAGATGAGATATAGCGCTTTTGGTCGCGAACTGCTAGCAGCCTACTGTGCCATCAAACATTTTCGGCACGCAGTAGAAGGTCGTAACTTTATCCTTTTTACCGACCATAAGCCCCTAACGTATGCGCTTCATACAAAATCTGACCGCTACTCACCGCGAGAGTGCAGACATTTGGACTATATCTCTCAGTTCACGACAGACCTTCGTCATATTAAAGGCGAGTCGAACTACGTTGCTGATGCTTTGTCACGTATTCAAATGAATGCAGTTACTTCACCAGTGCTCGATCTTCCTGCTATGGCCGCCGCCCAAGCAAACGATCCTTCTTGTTCAGAAGCACAACAGAATACATCCCTTCAGTGTCAGGAAGTGCCCCTAGCTACTACCTCAGGCACTATCCTATGTGATACCTCTAATGGTCTTCCTCGACCCATCGTACCCTCTGCTTATCGTCGTCTCGTCTTCGATGCCCTTCATGGTTTGTCTCATCCAGGCATCGCAGCTACATTACGTCTTATCGCTGCACGATACGTCTGGCCTTCCATGAACAAAGATGTCCGTATGTGGGTAAAGCAATGCTTACAATGTCAACGATCAAAAGTGCACAGGCACGTAGCCGCCCCCATCGGCACATTTGCTACGCCTGATGCTCGCTTCGATCACGTTCATATTGACATAGTAGGACCATTACCACCATCGCATGGGTATGATCACATACTCACGTGCATTGATCGCTTTACAAGATGGCCCGAAGCTATTCCCATCACTTCTATTACGGCGGAAACAGTTGCTCACCGCTTCGTAGAACGATGGATAGCTCTGTACGGTTGTCCCTCGACTGTCACAACTGACCGAGGACAACAATTCGAGTCCGAACTATTCTCCTCGCTAACTCGGCTGCTTGGTACGGAGCGCATACGCACTACCGCCTACCACCCAGCTTCAAATGGTTTAGTCGAAAGGTTTCATCGCCAACTCAAAAACGCTCTTCGAGCACACGAAAACAATAATTGGTACGAAACCTTACCGCTCGTCCTTCTAGGCATCAGAACGAGCTTAAAGGCAGATATTCAATGTTCCGCCGCTGAATTGGTATATGGCACGACATTGCGTCTGCCTGGGGAATTTTTCACACCACGGAGCAGTGATAACTTCAATAAATCAGACTACGTCCAACGACTGTCTGCATTTATGCGAGCACTGCCTCCGGTGTCAACTCGAATACAACATCGACAGGTCGCTCTCCCCCGAGAGTTATCTACCTGCTCACATGTTTTCATTCGAGTCGATTCGGTACGCAAACCTTTGCAACAACCTTACGAAGGACCTTTTCACGTGATTTCTCGTCACGAAAAGACCTTCAAGGTTGCTCGACATGGCCGCGTCGAGGTAGTTAGCATTGATCGTCTCAAGCCAGCACACGTCGATGACAGTGCCCTACTTGCTAATCCGAGACCCAATGCTACACCTAGCGGGATCCTCAAAACTACCCCGGATCCCACGCTAGGGAAATCAGAAACCTCATTCTCACGTCCCAGTCAGCAGCACGCGCCATCTGCACTATCTACGGATGAGACTCCGGTCTCACGTCCAGATCAGCAGACCACGCCGCACTTGACTGCGGATGAGAATGCAGGCTCACAAGGTACGCACGAGGCTACTGTCTCGCGTTCCGGTCGCCGCGTACGCCTACCTGTACGCTTTCTCGAATAACTACCAATCCTTCACAGGGACGGCATAGGATTTTACCATCATACTACACGCATGCTACACTCTTTCTCCTTTTTCTTTGATTTTTTTTATCCCGAGCCTATACCTCCGACCATTGTCCTGTTGGTACCGTCGACTTCAGTCAACCTTGGCGAAAGCTGGCCTGATCACCCACGCTCTAGTCAATGCACTCAGTCGATTTTCTGGTGACGAATATATCTGGTATACGAATGGTTTCGCACTGGTCGTTTCTGGCTCTTTCGCTCAATCTGGTTCCGTCCTACGTCTGCAGCTTTATTTGGTCCGGACCTCTACGAACGCAATTATCAGACACTGGATACGAGCCACGCTGGTGTGGTATGCTAACCCGGTGGACGAACTTGGCGCATAATTATTGGCACGGCAGCGGACAAACTCCTGGTGACAACTCGAGCTTCATCAGTCGCTTCCTGTCGTCAACCATTCTGCCCGTTATTCGAATATTGGTCGACGAGTCCCCTGAACGAAGCCGCTACATATCGAAAGTGTAAAACCCTTTCTAGGGGGGGGCTCCTGTAGTGGAACTATTTCGTCGAAATAATACGATTACTGACGTACAAATACTTATTATTGAACATATGTAACATTAACTGTTTTATTGTATATCATTTGTTTATTTGTACTAAAAGTCACTTTTCGAGCGCCACCCACGCCATCCCTGCGGATCTAACGATCGTCTCGTGTAATCATCGATTGTACAAGCTGAACACGTGATATTATTCTAATATCACTCGATTTTCTATCAATAAACGTTGATATCCTATATACAATCTTCTGTTCTGGAGTTGGTTTGGACGTGTAACCTTCACGCTTCAACAGGTCAAACAGAATTATCCGTAACAAGCGTAGACAAAGAATTGAACTTTGTTTCGTGGGAGAGGACACAACGAAAATCCCTCTGAATAACCCTAAACCCAATCTCATCCAATGGTGCCTCCTAGTTCATTAAGCGTCTAAAAGAAAGGATCTGTCTTCTGAAATGATATATCCACATAGTAGGAAGGAGGGTACAAACTGAGAAGGACTGGTTATTCATGAGATGGTGTGTTCGTAGGGGTCCGGACGAGAAAACGCTGAATACCTAGGACGAAACCACGTTGGGCCAAGAAACCAGAAGCGGTCATAATAAACAGGTTCGGGACCGCACGTTTGTAAGTTATAGACGTAACCAGAATATCAACAGAGTGTGTTGACAAGAGCGTGGGTGGTCAGGCAAGCTTTCGTTTAGATTGAATCAAGTCGACTGTAACGGAGGAACGATGGTCGGAGGCGGGCGCGCAGTATAAAATAAACCAAAGAAAAGAGGTTTAGCAAGCACGTAGTAAGGGGTATAATCCTGAACCCTATATTCGTTGCTTACTGAGGCCAGTCGCAAAAGCATGCAGTTAGACGTACCTGTTGACCGGAACGTGAGACCGTTATCTGGTTCGTACTTCTTGATAGGGAGCTCGAAACTGCAAACTCGTGAGAAGTCAAGGACGGCGTGGCCTGCTGACCTGAAGTCTCATCCATAGGTAGTGCAGATGACGGGCGCTGTTGACTGAGATGAGAGAATGAGGTCTCTGAGGTGTCTAGCGTGGGATCCGAAGGAGATCCCGCTAGTGAGTTAGATGGGTCTAGTAATGAATCCGAATTTATCAGGTAAGGCACTGTCCTCGACATGCGCTGGTTTGGGACGATCGATGCTGGTCTATTCTGTACTATCTGAAATAAGTGTAAAGGCAC